CGGAGAATTGCGGGGCGAGCCGGGGTGCGGTGAGAGGGCGGGGACTCGGGGTGAAGGTCTCCAGCCCTCAGGTCCCGGGTTGAGGAAACCCGGTGGGAGGTGGAACGCGGAGGGGACTGGAGGAGGGGACGGGCTTCAGCTGGAGTCAATGAGTTGGACTTAGGGTGGTGGCTCAAGCCTTCTAATCCTAGCGCTCGGGCGGCAGAGCTCTTGAGTTCGAGGCCAGCCTGGTCTACAGAGCGAGTGCCAGCATAGCCAGGGCTGTTACACAGGGAAACCCTGCCTTGAAAAACAGAAAAAGGGAAAAGCTCGAAGCGCTTCCATTGTGGTGTTTGAGGGAGACGGTGGAACCGACAGGGTGTTGGGTTTTGTAGACAGGGTCAGGGGAACTCAAGAGGCCAGTGTGGACGTTGTCCTGGGATAAGAAGAAACTTCCCAGCTGACACAGAGGGGAAAACAAAACTGACAGACCGGAAATTGACGGAGGGGTGGAGTTCAGGGTGGGGATTTAAGATGATCCGGAGGTTTGCTCCCCAGAACTGCTTGAAACTGGTAGTTGTTGAAGACGGGCTTTGAAGAGGGTTAGGGCAGGACTGAGGGTCCCTGCTGGGGTGGGGCTCTGCAGGAGGGGCTCTTCCTGTGGTCCCCTTGTTCTAGAATTCTGACTTTTCCAACACTTCCTCCCTTAGGGGGATTTGATCCCCCATGGCCTCCGCTGACAGCATCATTGTGCTGGATGACGACGATGAAGATGAAGCAGCTGCTCAAGCGGGGCCCTCACAGCTCCCCTCCAGTCCTGTCTCACCAGGGCCAGAAGCCTCTGGTCCCTCTGAGTCCCATGGGAATGGAAGAAGCCGTAACTCAGGTGGCAGGAAGTGCTACAAGTTGGAGAACGAGAGGCTGTTTGAAGAGGTAAGCTTCAGAGAAGGCGCCTTTTGTTTTTGAGACAGGGTCTCACTGTGTCACCCTGCCTGCCTGGAACTGTCTAGATGAGGCTGGCCTTGAACCCACAGAGTTCCACTTGCCTCTGCCTCCTGAGAGCTGGGATAAAAGGTGTGAACCACTATGACCTGACAGGGAAGATGGAAGGAAAGGGGGATTGGCTCTCTTGTTCTGATTTTCCCACTAATTCCATTTTTTTTTTTAAATGCCTTCCTGTCTCCCACCCTTTCCACGAACTCTTCAGTTCCTCGAACTGTGTAAGGTACAGACATCCGACCACCCTGAGGTGGTTCCATTCCTCCACAAACAGCAGCAGCGTGCCCAGTCTCTGTTTCTGGCCTCTGCAGAGTTTTGCAACATCATGTCCCGGGTTCTGTCTCGGGCTCGGAACCGGCCAGCTAAGCTGTATGTCTACATTAATGAGCTCTGCACTGTTCTTAAAGCCCATTCAAATAAGAAGAAGCTGAACTTGGCTCCTGCACCCTCCACACCCAGTAAGCCCTCTGGTGATAACCCTCCCACAGAGTCCTCCTCTGAACTTACAAATGCTGAGAACACTGCCTCCAAGGCCTCAAGGACCCGTGGTTCGAGGAGGCAGATCCAGCGCTTGGAGCAGCTGCTGGCGCTGTATGTGGCAGAGATACGGCGGCTGCAGGAGAAGGAGTTGGATCTCTCGGAGCTGGACGACCCTGACTCCACGTATCTGCAGGAGGCCCGTCTGAAGCGGAAACTGATCCACCTCTTTGGGCGGCTGTGTGAGTTGAAGGACTGCTCCTCCCTGACTGGCCGGGTCATAGAGCAAAGAATCCCCTACCGTGGCACGCGCTACCCAGAGGTCAACAGGCGCATTGAGCGGCTCATCAACAAGCCAGGGCCTGATGCCTTTCCTGACTATGGTGACGTGCTGAGGGCTGTGGAGAGGGCGGCCACCCGGCACAATCTCGGCCTTCCCCGACAGCAGCTCCAGCTCATGGCTCAGGATGCCTTCCGGGATGTGGGCGTCAGGTTACAGGAGCGCCGACACCTCGACCTCATCTACAACTTTGGCTGCCACCTCACAGATGACTATAAGCCAGGTAGGAAGCTGTTGGGATGCCTCCTAGGGGTCCTTTAGGTTACGTGGGCTACGCCCCTGACCCTGCTTTCTCTTTTTCGCACAGGCTTTGACCCTGCACTCTCAGATCCCACGTTGGCTCGTCGCCTTCGGGAAAACCGGAGCTTGGCCATGAGCCGGCTGGATGAGGTCATCTCCAAATATGCAATGATGCAAGACAAGAGTGAGGAGGGCGAGAGGCAGAAGAGACGAGCCAGGCTCCTAGGCAACACTTCCCATTCTTCGGGCTCCCCTAAAGTCTCCTTGGATTCGGGTGAGGTAAGGACGGGTCAGCGCCTGTCAGAGAGATCTTGTCCTCCCCCTGCGCTGGCCCCCAGGGACTCGAGGGGGACCAATGGAGCAGTGTGTGGAAACAGTGAAAGCACCAAGTCCTTGGGGGTGGGGCCGTTTGTGGTCTTCTCACCTAGTGTTCCTGAGGTCCCCGGTTTGAGTCCTAGTCCTTACAAGAGACGCTTTTGTCCCCCAGGGTCCTAGTGGACTGGCATCCCAGGAGTGCCCTACTACCTCCAGGGCTGACACTGACGACGATGAGGAAAGTGAGGAGGAGGAGGAGGAGGAGGAGGAGGAGGAGGAGGAGGAGGAGGAGGTCACTGAAGATGAAGATGAGGACCTAGAACGACTGCAGCAAGATGAGGGGGGTGCCGGAGAGGAGGAGGGAGGAGGAGGAGCAGGTACACGTGTGAGCAGAGCACCCCTGCGGCCCTGCTGGCCTTCCCTCCCCCCCCTGCTCCTTTGCACAGCCCCCTCCTCCCGTTGCTTTTGCTACCCTCCCTTCTCTCTTTTGCAGACAGTGAAGGAGATAAGAGCCCCAGTAGAAGCAACTCACAAGGGGAGCAGCAAAACAAAGGACTGTCAGAGACAGCAGCGTCTCCAGACCCTCACAGCGTAGATGCTGAGAGCAGCGGGGAACAGCCCGAAGAGCCATTCCTAGAAGAAGAGAGTCCTTTGTCCCACAGTTTTCAGCTAGAGATTGAAGACAAGGATACCACCCCATGCCTTGAGGAGAAGGACATTTCCTCTTCTAGGAAACAGTCAGAAGATTCCCTCCCCACTGTCTTGGAAAACGGGGCAGATGTGGTCACCTCTACATCCTTCAATGGGCGTGTCTCTTCCCACACTTGGCAAGATTCTGGTCCCCCATGCAAGAGATCTCGGAAGGAAAAGAAGCTGCTGGATTCTGAACCATTAGAAAACAGGTAAGAGCAGGCGGATGGCAAGGAGCTGGGGCTTTCGGGTAGCAGACCTGAGGTCAGGGTCTTCTGGGAGATACTGGGCACTCTGCAGCCGCAGTTTCGGGTCCCCTTCCCGTCCATCTGTTCTCTTTGCCTTAGCAATGTAGAGAAGCAAAAGGCTCAGCAGGGAAATGGGAAGAATGTGTGGACCCCGCCTACTGGATCTTCCCCAGTGGCCGATTCCTCCACAAGGGTGGACTCTCCCAGCCATGGCCTGGTGACCAGCTCCCTCTGCAGCCCTTTTCCATCTCTGACGTCCCCAACCCCCCAGCCTCAGTCTCCCCAGCCTTGTAGTTATAAGGTAAGTTGGGCTGCTGTGTTTCCCTAACAATTCATTTCTTTATTTTTTTCCGAGACAGGGTTTCTTGGTATAGCTTTGGGTGGCTTTGGAGGCTGTCCTGGAACTTGCTTTGTGGACCAGGCTAGTCTTGAACTCACAGAGATCTCTGCCTCCCAAGTGTTGGGATTAAAGACATGTGCCACCACTGCCTGGCAACAATTCATTTCTTACTGTCCCCTCTCCATGGGGTATTGCACCTCACACATCTCTATTTATCCATCCTAGGTTTGTGTTGTGTGTGCGTGCGTGTGTGTGGTGTATGTGTGTTTAGGTTTATTTTGCACAACGTAGTAGTTTATGCCTTTAAGTCCACCACTCAGGAGGCAGAGACTGGCAGGTTTCTTTTTCTTTTCTTTTTTTTTTTTTTTTTTTTTTTTTGATGGCTCCCTTTTTTTTAAAAAAAAAAAGATTTATTTGTGATGTAGTGTTCTGCCCGCATATATGCCTGCAGGCCAGAAGAGGGCACCAGATCTCATAACGGATGGTTGTGAGCCACCATATGGTTGCTGGGAATTGAACTCAGGACCTCTGGAGAGTGGGCAGTGCTCTTAAGCTCTGAGCCATCCCTCCAGCCCGAGACAGGCAGATTTCTATAAGTTCAAGGCCAACTGTCTTGTCTACACAATGAGTTCCAAGGTTACATAGTGTGAGACCCCTGCCTTAAAAAAAGAAAAGGTTTACTTATATGTGAAAAGGTGTTTCGTCTATGCATGTCTGTGTACCACATTTGTGCCTGGTGTTCAGTGGAGTCCAGAAGGGGCGCCTGGTCCTCAAGAACGGGGGTTACAGAAGGCAGCCAGCGAGCTGCGCGCCGTGTGAGTCTGGGTACCGAACCCAGGTCCTCTGCAAAGCAGCCAGTGCTCCTAGTGGCTGGCTCTTCTTCCAGACCTCCATCCTAGTTTGGTTTGTTCTTGAGATAGGGTCTTTCCATGTAGCCCTGGCTGTCCTGGCACTCTGTGGAGACCAGGCTGGCCCCAGACTCAGAGATCCGCCTGCCTCTGCCTCCTGAGTGCTGCTGCCGCCGCCGCCACCGCCGCCGGCTGGACCTGACTCCTCCCCTCTGCCTGTCCCCTTGTGACTTCTCTGCAGATGAGTGTGGCCACGCAGTGTGATCCCGAGGAGATCATTGTGCTCTCAGACTCTGATTAGCGGCCTCCTGCTCGCCCTGCCTCCACAATGTTTTGGATGGCCGCGGGCAGAAGACTGAGCAGAGGATGGACTGCGCTCCTCCCCTTTTGGTGGCGTGTCTTTTGACAACCAGATGTTTTAAGTTTTGCAAACACATTAATAAACAATGAATTTCTTTTCTTATTGTATTCTTGTGTTTACCTTGTGTCTCTGCTGTGACAGCCGCCGCCTGGTTCGGGGCTGGCCTGGGCACCTCGGGGGCGCCGTCCTCACCGCGATCCCGAGCCTCCCCCGGGCCCAGGCGAGAGCGGGCTTCCCGGGCCTCCCGGAGCCGCTTGGCTCAGCCTTGCAGCGGTTGAGTGAAAGGCCCGTGGGGGCCGGCTCCGTCCGGCTGGCTCGGCCAATCCCCAGGGAGGCGGGGCCTCGGGGTGCTGTCATTCGCCGGGGAGAGGGCGGTTAGATCCCG